ATAAATTTGTATTTGTTTGTTTTAATTCCACCCTCCCACCCTGCAAAATTTTGAGCTGTGTTTGCACTCCAATAATTTTTTTAAATATGCGTGCCATGTACATGTATGTACCGTATGTGTTAGGAAGAAGCATTTTGCTTGGAAATGGAATCCCCAGATGGAAATTTACTGGTATGGGATCAACAAAAGACAGCAGAAGGCATTCACGCGCACGTACATTTCCATTAGATTTTTAAGAACAGTTATTGATGGCCAATTAGAAAGTCTGGTCTGCATAGACCTTCCTGTTGAGATGCCGGGTAGTAGGACGTCCATAGTTACATGTACATGTAATTCTACGGTTTTGACATTTTTTTGACCGGGCAAGGGGGTAGAGAGGGGGGTAAGAGGGCATTAAAGGACATGCACAGTATAGTGTACATCTTCCCCCCCCCTCAAAAAAATCTTAATTATCATGTTTTTCTCTTTTTGGTTGAAAACTCCCTACAGGCTCTGCAGCAAAACAATTTGTTGTGTGCCCGGCAAAAGGTAGTAAGCGCACTTATGCCCTTTTGCCTCTTTGCATGATCACAGAAAAAATGTTCCTGGTAAAAGAACCACACTCTTATTTAGTAAAAACGTATAAAATTTACTACAAAATCAACACAGGCTGTGCAAAAAGCAACCTTTGAACAATTTATCAAACAACTTTTCTTTTTTTTTGAACTATTTGCAAAGAAATCTTTATATTTCATTAAAATAAAACAGTTGCCTACATGTACACGTCCTTTTGCCAGGAAAATTTTTTTTGGCGGCGATTATTTCTTCCCGGCAAAAGGTCGTAAGTGCTTACGACCTTTCTACCGAGCACACGACGAATTAAAGGTTTCTTTTTTCTTGCTTAGAGCCCAAATGAGGGTCGGTCAAAAATGAGAACTATAGAAATAATTACTGACTCCCTTATGCGTGCAAGTTTTCCTGTGTGTTTTTCTGTATTCTTCTTATTTCCACCATTCAAAATTGACCGAACACTGTACAAAGTCTTTTGAAGTTATTAATTTTCTCTCTTTCGAGAAGTTAGTGCTACACCCCTGTTCTACACATCAGAGTGCATTTATGGGCAGTTGCCTGCCCAAAATTTTGACTCACCACCTCCCCCTCCGCCCACAGGTCCTTGCCATCAAACAACTATACCCATTCAGGTTAATTAAGGGCAAGGACATTTTGCCTGGGATAATGGACACTCTGGAAGGGCTTTAAGGCCTTCCACCCTTCATTTGTACAGGCAAGCCATTCTTGGATGCATATACCCTGTACCTTGTGTATACATTTACATGTTTGTCCATTTACGGTACATATACATTGTATCTTTTCACCCACAAGTTCCGTCTCTTGATTGGCCAAGAACACGACACATGTTTTTTTGTTTTGTTTTGTTTTGTTTTGTTTTGTTTTAATTGTGCAAAAAAGATGTGCAAAATGTACAGTCAAATGGTGCCTCATTCTGAAATGGACCGTTGGGAATCACATGTACAGTTATGCATCTGCCTGACTGTGTTTATAGTCAAAAGCTTACATGCTGTACGCTAATAGACTGACAGTGATTAATTATAATTTCAAGACTGCTGATTCATGCTAATCGTCTTTTTTTCTGTAGCTGATGATCAGAGCTGATCTGTTTATACAGACAGTGCAGACTGCACATAAACTTGTCTGTGAATTGTGAAGGGCTTTTTTGACAAACAAGACACTGTCCAAGTGATGAGTGATGTGATTGCTCCCATGAGTCCTCTTTGGATGGGGGAGAAAATCCCTTGTCAAAAGATGTAGACACTTTCTATTCAAAACCGGGTCATTCTATAAATTTGGGGTCCAATTTTTTCCTTACATCTGGTATTTGATTTTTAATGTTTAGAACTCATTGTTTAATTTCAAAGACTGAATAAGTACATGTACATGTACACGTATGTACTGCAAATTACCTGCCAAACAAATAGAAATAATCTGAAATCAATTTCAGTGATACATCCCTTGTCAAACATGTCAGATGGTATGTCAGAGGTAACAGGGACGGAAAAAGTCACACTTTGGACCTTAAATTTATAGAATGACCCAAATGTAAGTACTAATACATGTACAAAAACATGTACTTTACACAAACCTGGCCACAAGCAAAGATGTGCTTCAGTCACACAGAGCTTGGTTAACACTCACACCGAGTGACACAGATGCATTTGTTTGCATTGCGGAGGCCAGTAAATTCCAGATTGTTGCACATGACAGGATGTTGTCTTATCAATCATTAGGGAAGGTACATATACTCTGTATGTCTAAATTAATAACTTGTCAAGGGCATGCTAGGCATGACGTATTTACATATGTGTACAATTGTTTGCAGTTACATGAACCAACATTTTACATATGTACATGCAATTTATTTGTTTATTTACGTATCTGATCATCCAACAGTACGTTACAGGATGATAATGAGTGAAAAAGACAGTGACACTGAACAAATGTTCAGTGCTAGAGGTGGGAGGAAAACCCCAGATTAATGTTTCGGGGGAAAACCCATGGACTCGGGTCAGGACCGAAAACCCAGTACATGTGTAGACCGAGCTGGACTCGAACCAAGGTCCCCAGAGGTGGAAGGCGAGGAAAGAAACACTATACGCCAACTTGACTCCCCCTGCACCATCCTGAATTAGAATAAAGAGCAATTATTCCATAATTACCATCTACGGGTGAAGGCTAATTATTAAAATGTATAGCTCCCCTGTTTCTTGAGCCATTTCAAAGATTTGGTATGGAAGGGGGAAAAATACCGTAGCTGGATGAGGAACCTGTGAAGTATTCACTGGTAACCTGTAGAACTTACCCCGTGTTACATACATGTATGTACATGGTATATGTGCTTTATTCAGAAATTCATGAACTCAGGGATGTAATGTTCATGTTGTTTGTTTTCTTATTTGTTCAATTCGTTTCTGCAGGGGTTCTTCCGTCGCTGTCTCAGAAGACAGAAGGAGTATGTGTGCGTACGAGGGGGTAAATGCGAGGTCAGTCGGCAGCAGCGGAACCGGTGCCCAGCATGCCGGTACAGGAAGTGCATTGAGCTGGGCATGTCCAAAGATGGTGAGTGATTGGGACAAAGTTATTTTGGCATTGGGAACAGTCTCAAGCAGCACTCCACCATCCATACTCATACAAGTATCTGCTCTGACTATATAGAGCCGATGGCCAAATAAAAAAGGGGTCATATGTGACCACAGTCTGCACATGGACACATCTTCAACCCTGCTGTAGTACAAGGCACTGTTGTACGTCTACATGTTGTATTAGGCACTAGTAGGGATCCATCATGTGAGCCAGCAATGAGAAAAGCCACAATCTACAGGTGCGCTGGGGACATGAGGGAATCTCATGCTACCTCTTCCCCCGTGGTGTGGAGAGGTAGCATGCAGTGATGCAAAATGAGCCTGCAAGAACTTGGTGTGACATCTACCGGTATGTAGGTTATTGTGTCTTGAATGATGGCAGTACCAGTACCTGCGTCGGATGGCTGCACTGGGCCCTTGGGTCAGTTAGAGACCATCATGAGGTGCTAAATTAGGTCTGGCGCAATACACGCACGCAGGGGAGGGGGAAATTAATCTAATTTACAGCTGCCATGAACAAGGATAAGTGGAAATGGGCAGTGGGTAAGCTCTGAGGCGTGACCGCTGTGATGACTGAGCTGCATGCAGTGTGCATTGTATGCTTTGATGAGGAAGCCCCATTTTCATGGCCGTGCTTACAGTGAGCGAAAATTTGGTGCAGATCTGGCTGGAAAGTGTGGTTGTAACGGAAAGCCTGTTTGTGCAGGGTCAGCAGACCGTTTTTGTAACAAAAGGCTTTGGGCTGGCAGAAATCAGTGGAAAAATTCCTCTGTCAGCATTAAATAGTGATCGTTGGCACAGGGTACTGCAGTTATCAAAGCCGTGTAATCAGTCTTGGGACATTGTTTTGAGTGGGTGGCTAGGTTTGGTTGAAAGGAAGGCGGCCCCTTAGTTTAAGGTATCAATCAAGATAATCAGGTGAGTATTGTCAAGTCAGCGATAACCGCGATAGAGTGGAGAGGTTAGAATGTTTTTTGATGGGAGTTATCTTGTGTTTTGAAATTTAAATGGCAAATGGCACTGTGGGACTTTGGGGCTGGGGATGGTGGGAAACTCTTACTGGAGAGCTGGGTCATTCCATGAGGTTGGGGCACAATTTGTGACGTTTTCAATTTGTTACATGGGTTCCGTAAAAATGAACAATTATTTCCCTGCATGTGGAATCCAAATTGGCATTGTTATACATGTACATCTTGCAAGGCTGAATACAGAGGTGTGTCATTTTAAAAGAGTAAATTACTTACTCTACAGCTCATGACAAGTGGTAAAAGTTTTGGATGTGACAAGGACACCGGCACAAATTGTGCCCCAACCTCGTGGAATGACCCAGCAAAACTTGTGGAAGAACAAGATGCGTAACGGTGAATGAAGTAAGGGCATATATGCACATGCATACATTAAAGATTATGCAGTAATGGCATTCTCCTTAGATTAATCTGCTACCAGAAACTAAACGTTTCCGGTCTAGCTTCCGGCATTCCTTGTGTAAATATCGTATGTACCAGTAACAGGCATGGAAACTGTATCTGCAGTGCCAGTCTGTTGGAGGAGAGTGGCAATATGTGCATTGTACATGCACCGGTATGTTGACTGATATTGATATGGCATTGCAAGACATATACCCAGCAAGAAATGAGACCGAGGGGTACCCCCCCAACATATCCAATCCCTTTACACATTCCAGACTATTGTTACTTAACACATCCCCCCAAGATGTCTGAAAGGAATTCCCCAGACTCCTGCGAGACAATGACCAACACAAAGCATGAGGGGTTCTCTCCGTCTCATACCTTGCTGCGTATGGCAAGACATGTAATGTTGAAGTGGTGCAAGCTTCTGATTGGCTGTCTCAACAGATACAAACTGGTTTTTTTTTTCTATCATTTCTCTGTAACTGAGATTTTCTGGCCCAAAGATGGGAAATACATGTATATGTATACAAAGTAAATAACCCCAAAGATCAAATATTTGGCTTTTTTAGGGCAGTTTGCACTGTCTGAGGAAGACGTGCTATGTATGTGCTGGTAACTTTGCTTTTGTGGAAATCACACGTTGTGGAAACAGAAAGTTCCCACAATGCTGTTCCAATTTTTCCCATCACTCTTACTGTAGCCTGCCACGCCGTGATTCCTGTTCACAGACGGTGAGCGCATTGACTGTTTGCATTGCTCGGTTGCTCATGAGTGGATGTGCAAAACGGGTGTTGATTATGCTGATTGCTTAACCGTGGCAAGCCCTCTGCTGGCACCATGGTACTTACATGTAAATGCAATTCACCGTTACATGTACACGTACAAGTGTTTTCCAAACTCGGGCTGTGCTCACATGCAGAGAACTACATGTATATGCAAATACACCTGTACAAGTACCAGGAACATACATGCGCAGTGTAACCAGGTTTGTTTCGGGGGCTTTGTTTTGTTTTGCATGTAAATACGGTACATGCACACAGTACACTGAGTATTTCCTATTGTTTGTGTATGGTTCAAATAAGGGGTGCACTTTTTGTTACAAGACACCAACTTGTAAAAAAGAAGAAAACACGAAAGCTGTCGTCATCTTCTTTGTTGTACATCGTCTTTAACGGATTTGTTTCAGTAGCCAACGCATTTATAATAGTCATCAGGGCTTGATTGAAAGGACAACAGGTTTGCCAAATGCATGTACATTACCATGAGGAATTCATTTGAATGTACCGGTAGATCGGCCAAACAACGATGCACATTTTCTGTTGTTCACAATGTGACAGTATAATGATATGATCAGCATGCAAATGTGCTCTAACATACACGGTACACGGTCGATGTACTATGCGTTATATGTACCGTAGTGGGAGCCCTTAGTACGGTATTTTAATAACAGATGACGGTTGCCCATTATGAAGTAAAAGTAACCATACATTTTAAAATATTGAGTAAGAATACAATGTACATGTAAACGCTCCCATTTTCCTGTTCCCGTTGTTCTTGTTAATTACTGGCACATATGGCAAACTGGTGCCCTGCGTGCCGTAAGCGGTATACTCAGTGTTGCTCATAGGTTGTTTTGATAGTCATCTCGCATTCTGTAAAAATGCAGAAAGGAGAGAGAAAAGATATGCAAGAGAAATGTATCGGATAGGTAAAGAGGTCTGTATAAATGAGTCTTGGTAAACTAACAAACAGGATGGACATGGACGTGTAAACAAGAGCCCTTATAGTGGAGGGGAGGGGGCTTAAAGTTTTCCCTGAAGTTTAAAATGGAGTCAGTTTTTATGTCCCTTTGATTGGAACCGTGCACACTTGCAGTGGCTTCAGAAATACACTACAGAGAAGGGATGTACTGTACATGTACCTGTACATGTACAGTCACATGTATGTAGTAGGTACATACATGTACATGTACTTGTAGATTGCCACCAGTACCTCAGCCACATGCACCACATGCCTCAGACGTGACTGTATATTGCACTTTAGAAAATCGAAGTTTCCAACTCATACTTTCTGTGGATTTTTCTAGAATTCAGGAATGTTTGACTCATACATGTTGACATTTTGGAGGTGTAGTAACAGGTACATCTAATGATAAATAATCATGTTTTTTTTGTTTGGTTCTTTTTTTTGGTACAAATGCACTGGTATGTTTTAAAGTCTCGTGCAAGGTTCACATGTCTGGCCATTTTGGTGAGAACTCTGGCTTTGTCAAAATGTCAGCTGTTGAAATTCCTGGAAAGTCAGAGCATTTTACTGCTGTGGTACCGTAGTTGCTTCTGTTCCTTCATCTTTCAATCTCACCCAGCCCAAAGATTTGTTGTCGGCACATATCATATACTACTAAAAAAAAATTAAGGACCACTTTTTTCCAAATTTGTAATTTTTCTCCAAGCAATGAGTTTCATTTTTTGTTTGTCTAGATGGTGTTCTCACTGGAATAAATATTTTTTTTTATTATTTTTCGAAACATCAAAAGCACTTTTTCAGCAGTAAAATATCTCATACAGAAAAAAAAGTGTGAACAAAATAAAAAGTGGTACTTACCTTGTTTTGAGTAGTATATTCATTTGTTCTCTGCATTCTCATCGTACATGTACTCGTACATTAATACCATAAACTTTACATTTATGTACCGGTACTTGTACATGTAGGGTAACTCAGGGTGCCATACGCCAACACTCTAAAGTTTCACTGACATCAAAAGACATGTACTAGTACACTGGATGTCACTCAAATCCATGTCCATTGCTTTTTTCATCTCAAACCCTACCCGGTCCCCAATGGGGAAAGCCCACTCCCTCAATGAGTTGCTTTTTTGCTTTTTTGCTTTTTTCCAACTTCTGCTTTACATATAAAGTGTAGCCATAGTGAAGTTCTCTTCAACACATTTTTTCCCTGCAACTTTGCACTTTCTCCATCGTGTTACATTCCTATTTGGCTAAATGCATTTAAAAGTGCACTTTTTAAGACTTTTAAACTTATCGGTGCTGTTCCAGAGAACTGAGGGCGCTGTTATCGTAATGTCATCTGGGGAAGACTTAACCCTGTGTCCAAAGGGCACTTCCAAAGCCGTGGCTACATCTGTTGTCTGCGCTTCTCCACACAGTTACCAGTAGACCTGAAGTACATGTACATGTACATGCTCAGATGCAGCCTTTGTTTGGTGCTTTTAGGTTTTTCTGTTCAAACTGTGAGCCAAGCATATATACATGTACCTGTACTGACTGAAAACATTTCTGAGAAAGGGGACTGACACTTGTTCATTACTCTACCCATAAACAGCAATGAATCAGCAAATATAAAAAAATTTAGTCCTGCAAAATCTACAAATATGCTGTACTTTTTTGTGTACATACATGTACAATCAAGGTAACATTAAGGCTTTCTTCCAGGGATGACATCACAGTTTTGCTCATGAATATGGAAACACCCATTAACACAGAAAAACAAAGAGGCAGTGGGCCTAAAAAGACAAATTGAAACCGTGAAAAAAAGTTGCAAATCAGGTTAACTGAGACACAAAGGTTTGTATTGAAACAAATAGAGCCCAGCTGCCCTTTAAGGAGAGAGCTGGATGCGCTGAGCTCCTTGCTGGTGCAGGTTTTAAAGGTGTTAGTTTAAAAAAAAAGAAAGGTAAAAATTGAAGCCGTACACATACATGTACATACACAGTCACGTTCATGGCTTATTCTCATCTATATGTGGCAGGTTCCTCAAAATATGGACCATTAGATAATGTTCAACTTAGGGGGTTCAGTTTTCCTGAAGTGAACAGCAGTGAATTAATTTCCAATGTTTGATGTAATGAGGGAAGTCATGACTGATATGTAGAACAGTGATGACCATGTCAACCTTGCAACTTAATTGGAGTTAATTAAAATCTTGAATGTTAGCATTTTGAGGGACATGAACTCCCTGTTAAAATCCAAGCAAACAGAATTGACTGAGGAGTGATAATCCCTGAGGTTAATTTACACAGATTTATATGTGGTGAAAGGTGATGATATTTACACATATTAAAACCATAATCACAAAATTAAAAAGTACCTCTCACAATTAATCGGGTCCCGAAGTCGGCAGTCGCAAATGTCATTCGATTCTGTCATTAGTTTCAAAAAAATCGACTGCAAAAAAACCGAGTAAATCCGTATATCGATGTACAACACAAGCTTTAAAAAAGAGCGCAAAAACGCACCGCCAGACCATCATCCTTTTACGACTGGACCGATCACATTTTCTTCAAGTATATTCCCAAAAACCGCAGTCCAAAATACCAATCGTGGCAATCTTGCGGCTTTCATCAATCTCTCGCGGTGACGTTAGAGAAACATTTTGCTGCATCGTGGCCTGTTTGACCTTTGACATCAACCCAGATAGTGCGCCCTCTTTTTTATTTGATATTCATGAGCCCCTCCACGGAATGGCGACGCTCAGCGATTTTTCTCTTCAGAACAGTTTTTCTCAAAAGAAAATCTGTCATTCTGAATGATATTCGCAAAAAATGATGCTCGAAACATAAAATACGATTCATGATGAAAATCTGATGCTCAGAGTTGTTAATTTTAATTTTATTTTCAGCGGAGTTATTTCCAAAATAACCGGCAAAATGAAAATCGCGCATGGAATTTTAGAGCATTCCATGTGACAGCATTTTCGGTATTCTCGAACGTCATGCAGTTTCTGTCAAAATTCTCGAACGTCATCAAAATTCTGTCAAATATGACGTTAGCAATGAACATATTGTACTCATTATAAATTTTTGATGCAGCCAAACTTAAATAAAATTTCATGCAAGACCTATATTCCATGCAAGACCAAATTTTTTGAATAAGAATAATAATTGAATATTTTTTGTGCAAGATAAATGTTATCACACGCAAAATTACATGTTGAGTGACATCCCCATGTCTGCTCACCAGCCAAGAGGCTGGGACTGCTTTAAAGGGACCATGAAATAGAACTACAGTATTTCTTCTTAAGCACTTCTATCGCAGATTAAATTTCCTTTGGCAATTTATTGTTGAATAAGCCAGTAAACAACCTTTCATGTTTTCAGATAGCAGTTTGGAGATAATTTGAACATGAAAACATGCAAACTGAACCATGTCTTCCTTGATTTACAGTACATCAAAGCAAAAGCGCCCTCACTTGTCCGTAAATTCTTTGTCAATTTGGAATGTTTAAAAGTGCACTTTTCAGTTTATGTAATTCAACAAACCATGTCAAGCAGTCTTTATACATTGAAGAAAAGTACAGGGATACTCAAAAAGTGCTTCTAAGAAAATGCATTTCATGGATCCTTAAACCCGTTTGCCGGACGCACATTCCAACAAGAGAGGGCTAAGTACATGTACATGTACTTAGAGTAACCCATACTAAATGCTTATGAACCTGTGCGGTCATACATGTACGTCCCCACCAAAGAAACTGCATAAAGAAACTGCATAAGATGTACAACCATGCTGCCACTTGTTCACATATACACAGAGTAGACATTATAAAGAAAAAAAGATGCAGGGACCCTCCCCAAAAAACGGTTTCTAAAACTATGAAAAATAAAATGGCTGTGGTTTGTCTTTTCTCGGTCTACAGCCGTGCGGATAGGCCGAATCCCCAACAAACAAAAGGAGACAGAGTTTGCCGACATCCAGCCATTCACTCTGGACCCGCTGGATGAGGAGAGAGACGTGGACCAGTCCATTCAGGCATTAGAAGAAGATCCCGAGACCAACCAGCTGATTGACTTTGTCATCAAGGCCCACTCTGAGACTGCCAAGAAATATGTAAGATTACCCCCTCCCCAGGGTGAGGTTTGTTGGGCCAACAACAAAATAGTTGTGTAAGATTATACCTTCCCCAGGGTGGGAGTTGTTGGGCCAACAACAAAATAGTTGTGTAAGATTATACCTTCCCCAGGGTGGTGCTTGGTGGGCCAACATCAAAATAGTTGTGCAAGATTATCCCCTCACTATGGTGGGACTTGTCGGGCAAAAGAAACACACTTTTTTGGTTACTTTTTTTAATCTATAATAATCAGCTTTGATGGAAAATTTACTCTATTGATCTTGTACATGTACGTGGCTGTATGCTTTCAGCCGATACATTACTTTGTCCTGGGAAAGAAAGCTGGCTTAGTATCAAGCTTATTCATCTTCGAGTGGATGCAAATGCCATAGGGTAGCAGTGGAATCTACCGGTATGAACAACAAAAGAACATGAATTGATCAAAATCCAGTTCATTTGTGTGTTCAGTAAAACTTTTGAACATCCTGATGATGATTGGTGATCATAACCTTTTGAAATTTAACTTCCCTAATAAACTCTGGGAAAACAGTTGAAATCTCTGTTGAAATTGAAGTTGCATGAGGATGGAAGAAGAAGTAAAAGATTTATCCATTGTATATACACATGTTCTT